TGTGTTTGACTCGACAAACCCTTTGAATGAAACAAGATTATGCACTGAAAAATTATTTTGCACTTCTTAATGCAAATATTCCTGTTTTATCAATCTAATTGCATAAATATACTTTGGACGGAATTTCATATTATAAAGGATTATATGATCAAAATAATCTGATAAAAGGGACAAACATGCATTGATTTGAAACTTTATTATATAAATTTTCATTTCTTTTAAAGATTACAAAACCTGTTCTATGACAGGAGTACAAGCAATATTGTTCCAGGATTATTCATGGATACATCTGAAGAGCTTAGATTACACATTAATAGTATGATTTGAAAACTTCCCAGATTAGACTCTTAAGTAAAACAATTTAAAGTATTTAGTGATATTTGATCCTTTACAAGCATTTCATAATTATGGCAGCAATGCCAAGCATCTGACGCGATTTAACCACCAACAAAAGGTACAATACGTAAGAATTCATGATATGGTATCTTGGGCTTCTGGCATGCCTTACTAGAGATAAACTAGTATAAAGGAAGATCATATATAATAGTAGAAAAATATTTGTGATTTTTTTCTTTTTTAAAAACGATTTAAGTAGGCACCCACCCTATTCCCACCCTTGGCCAAAAATGCAAAGTAAGTACATCCCTTAGGTGTATACCTTCCCTTTTGCTTAGGGTAACGGTTAAGATAAACTAATACATGTATATAATTTTAAGAGTTAAAAACTCATCATCCATAATGAATAAAGATGCTAAGGAATGGCAATACCTTGAAGCTTTTTTTAAAAATCAAAAAACAAAGCTTTAGATGGTAAACTACACTTATAGAAACACAAACCAAAATCTTTATCTTTATGCCCTTGCTTTGTAGGTAAAAGTTCTATTTTAAATACTTGTTTGAAAAATTCAGTATACAGTTCATTCGGTACTATAGTGATAATAGGAGTAAAGATGTTCACTTCCATTAAACGATGAACTAATCTACTTAGGACTATTACAGTAACTCTCTTCCCATATACGCTTACATATACTCTACTCACGGTATGTGCTTTAAAGAGGTTTTCTTGAGGTTTGTACCTCTGAACTTAAATCTCTAAATTTTCCTTTCCACTAATCTCTAATCAAAATTTAATATACTTTGCTAGTTGCTCTGAGAGAAGTCATGGACATTTAAACAGCTTATCATGTAGTTCAAGATTATATGGCAAAATAATGAGGAAAGTGCCTTAAGAGGTAGGAAGTAGGCTCTCATCCCAACCCTTGGTAAGCCCTGTTATGAACAGTTAAAAAACTAGAATCAAAGTGGTAAATGTGAGGCTGAGAGTAATACCAGGCTTAAGAAAATTGACTTAGTTACTAGAATTCTTTGAGAACACTGTCACATTGGAACCAGTTGCAAATCACTTGATCACACAGAATACAGTAGTGTCAAAAACACATAAAGCACACTGTAGATACAAATTCTTCTTGGCCATCCATATTTGGGCATTAGCATTCTGGAGATTCTTCATTGGAAAAAGTGGTTAAGTGTGGCTCTGTAGAATACCACAGTCCCAAGAAAGTGAATTTCATTCCTTCATTAATTGGTCTCCACCAATGGTCACTTGGGGAGACCAGCAAAATGTAAGCAACCTGGGGTTGAAAAGAGGACTATTTTCATTAATTGAAATAAAAATGCTGAGTTAAGTCAACTTATCTGAGAATTAAGTAAGGCTCAAAGTATTTATCCAGTAAAGTTAGTCACATGGCATTGGGCCTTTCAGAGGAACAGAACTCTAGAACTAGATTGAAACCTCCTGATTTAAGCACCAAGGTCAGCCATGGAATACACTGTATTTGTTAATCTGAGAAAACAGACCTTTTCTGAACCTTTACATTCCTGAGCTATCTACCCTAATACCTTCATAAGTCTCAATGCTCAATCAACCATAAGATAGAATTTTCTTTATATAGTGAAGCAAACTGAAAAACTATAGGTCATTTTTGAAGGCCAGGAAGTAGAGAATATCAAAGCCATGTTAAGATGTGTATTGCTGGCCTCCATGGTGATTAAGCACAACCGTAGCAAGGCCTGCAAATCTTGAATGCTTTTCTGCTCTCATCCCAGGCTGGGCTTACCCTAGTCCCTTTTCCGCCAATACATTCTGCTCTCTCTTTAAGCCTTTGCACCCACCTACCCTCTGTTCAAATCCTTCCTGGGCTGAAGGTGCAGGGCACAGCTAACTGGACAGCCCCACCTCCCATGATGTCCCCTGCCCCAAGAGCAGTCACGTCTTAAAAAGAGATGGGAAATGGTTGACCCAAACCTGCTTTTTGGAGTGCATTGCATGTGAAATGTGGAAACTCTACAGCATACACACCACACCTTCTCTCCAGATAATCATCAGTGACTTTTCATACACACAAGCTTCATAGCATTTCAACTTTGGGCCTTGTCAAAATTATTCCATTTTTGGACTTTTGGGGTTGCTTGTAATTAATGCATCCATATCAAATCTGTTAAAGTCGGGGGTCTGTTGCATTAGAAAGAAGACACCTCTATAAACCAGAAAAAGCTGAAATGATTTATAAAAAACAAAAATTAAAAAAGGATGAAAAACTTACCTTCATTAACATCACTTGAAAGGAAGATACGAACACATGGTAGTGTAATTCATACTTTCCAGTATGTGCTTGACAAGGTTAAATTCAATCTCTCGCTTTGGATATTATTTTGGATTAGAGACTAAGAGGAAGCTTGTGGACTGATACCTTCTGGGAGAAACCCCAGTAACTGGCAGCACTAACTGGTGAAAGGCAGAAGCCTTCAGGGGCCTCAATACCACAACTGTAGGGGCCTGAAGAATTGATGTTGAGAAATTAATGGAAAAATTAACCCACCACAAGCACTATATTTAGAGTACATTGCTGGCCAAGTTTTTCGACTGTATGTCAAAAGCAATGCAAGGGAACACCAGAACCATAGATGAAATAAATGTAGGTAGAAAGTCTTCCATTTTGTGAACATATAAATTGCTTTTCTCCAATAAAACTGGCTGCTTGACTAGGCAAAGGCGGCAATTATCTTTGAAAGAAATAAAATTGGCATCATACACCAGTAGAGGACTGCCCAAGAAATATGTACTTTTTGAACTCAGCTACTGGTTGGTGATATGAAGGAAAGGCAGCATGGTGTTATGAGGAAAACAAAACCTAAATGGGGAGAAGTTAAGGATTCTAGACTGTGTCTCAAGTTCTTTACGTGCAATATGAGAAAGTTGGACCGAGTAATTCATAAGGATTTACGTGTTTACTTCTAGTTCTAAAAGACTATGATGACAATACACTTAAGCAATTATGGAGTAGCATCAGTGTAAAAAATCTGAAAACACATCTTTTCTTTCTGCTCAGAATGACATTAACATTTTAAAAGTGACAATAATTTGAGATGACCATAATTTGAAACACTGAATAGAGGAGGGAGAAAAGCTGTCTTTCCAAGCAATGGAAAGCAGCTTTAAATAGTTAGCATCCATATATTCAAGAACATTAAAATACTTTCTCTATCTAGATATTCTGATATCCCTCTTATACGTTTTTCATTTAGAAACTAAACTTACATTTGATTTCTATGCAATAATCATTTTTGTGTCACTTGGGTAAAAGAAACGTTATAGATTTTCCCTTTCTCTTTAATTGCATAGCGGAGAAATTAAGGAATGACAAGTGGATTTCAGGACATTTAGATAAACCACAATCTCTTGGCTTTGTACTCTTAGGGGATAATTTAAAGCTTCTGGCAGGAAAAAAGGTTTCTGATATACATGGCTTAGTGCATGACTAAGAAAAATCCAAATGGGTACATTCTTGTTTTTCTTTGATAGTTTCACTCTGTCTCCCAGGCTGGAGTGTAATGGTGTGATCTTGGCTCACTGCAACTGCCACCTCCTAGGTTCAAGCGATTCTCCTGCCTCAGCCTCCTGAGTAGCTGGGATTATAGGCGTGTGCCACCACGCCCGGCTAATTTTTGTATTTTTTAGTAGAGATGGGGCTTTGCCATGTTGGCCAGGCTGGTCTCAAACTCCTGACCTCAGGTGATCCACCTGCCTCGGCCTCCCAAAGTGCTGGGATTACAGATGTGAGCCACCACGCCGGCCCATTTGGGTACTTTCTTAATAAGGTAAGTTAAACCACTTTTTCCTTGCTTATATGTCTTTTATATTAAATGCTGATGTATGCTAGGCAGCTTGGCAAAGACCCAGGTAACAATGGCTACTGAAGTTTCTTTCATCAGATAAAAATGTAGAAACTACCAAATTAGATGCAGATAATGAATACTGTGATCTAAGCAGACCCAGTGGCCATTCTGAAACCTGATCATTCCTGAAGTCAAAGGAAGCAGTATATGGCTATAAATTATCATGAGGAATTCAGAAAACACTCAATGCCGAATGTTCATTTAGCCTGCCCTACCTATAATTTTAGGTTAGTATAGAT